GGGTTCTGTACTGGAAGGACTTCCTTAAGCATTTCATGTAGAGTTGGTCTGGTTTTCACAAAATCCTTTATTTCTGTTTGTCTGAGAATGTCTTGATTTCGTCCTCATATTTGATGACAATTTAATTGGATATAGGATTTTTGGTTGGAAGTTCTTTTCCTTCAGTGTTTTATATATGCCATCCCATTGCCTTCTTGTCTGAATGGTTTCTGCTGAGTAATCAGAACTCAGCCTGTTTGATTATTATAAGTAATATTTATTTTGTCCCAGGCAGCTTGCAAGATTCTTTCTTTGTCTTTGGTTTTGGAGAGTTTGATTATGGTATGCCTCAGTGTTTTTCTCTTGGGATCAATCCTATATGGGGTTCTTTGAGCTTCTTGAACAAGTATCTTTTCTTCCTTCATGATATGGAGGAAGTTTTCTGTTAGTAGGTCTTCCACAGTTTTCTCAGTGTTTTTTTTTTTTTTTTCACCTCTTCTTGTTCTGGAATTCCAGTGAGGCGTATGCTGTTTCTTTTCATGTCGTCCCATAAAACTCTTAGGTTCTCTTTATTTCTCTTAAATCTTTGTTCTGATTTTTCTTCATACAGGTTGGACTCCAGGAATTTATCTTATAGTTGGGAAGTGCATTCCTCAGCCAGTTCTAGCCTATTCTTTTGTGCTCACACTGTGTTGTGTAATTCTGTAATTTTGGTATTTATCTTCTGGATTTGTAACTGCTGTTTTTGTGTGAGTTCTGATTGTGTATTAGTCTTATTATTTTGTTCTTGAATGGTTTTCCTGAGTTCTTCCAGGATACTGTCTGTGTTCTCCTTGATTCTGTTTGGGGTTTCCTTAAGCTCTTGAAGAGTTCTATAAACACACCTTTTAAATTCCTTCTCGGATAATTCTATTGCTTCCTCTTCCTCCATGTTTAATGAGATTTTTGTTTGGAATTTTATTTCTATTGTCTTATCCTGTTTTTTTTTTTTTTTTTTTTAGGTTGCCTGTTTTTTCCTAGACGTTTTGAGGTTGTCTTTAACTGTTAGTTATGTATTGATTTGTTTTGTCTTCATTTTATGATTTAATATGTTTGCAAAGGTGGAGCTGGTGTATTTTATTGTTTTGGTTATTAATTCAGGTGTGCTGGTTGCTCTGCAGTTTTCTTTGAGATGATGGAATCACTCTCTGGAATGTGAATGCAGGTCTCTGTTTGTCATGAAGGATGTTTAGGATTTGAGCCAGGAGGTGCTTTGGTGGCTTAATGTGGTTTTTCTATTCGATGAGGCAGGGGAGAGGCAGGGAAAGGAGGAAGAGAAAAAAAAAAAAAATCTCCAAGGCACCATTAGCCTTTTCCAGGGCTTTGAGTAGGCTGGTAATGATGATGTTATACTGTTACTCACAGGCCCGCAGCTCAAGTTTGGCAAAGACCCCAATGGTTAGGGGGCTGCCACTTTCTGCCAGGTTCAGACAGCTGCGAAAACCCTGTACTATAGGCCCCTCTGTCTAAAGTTGTTCTGGAACAGCTGCCCTGATCTGCAACGCAAGTTCGTCCCAGGGCTCTCCCACCTGTGTTGTTTCCTTCTCTGCTCCCAATTCAGCAGCACTCGGAGCCGCTGGGGTCTCTGCTCCCTCCCAGTGGTCCTGCTTTTCTCTCCTTTCTAATTCTATTCCCTTGAGTTTGGCGTACTCTGATTAATGAGCTGTTCAGAGTGCCAGAATCCCTACTTCAAACTGCTGCACCTAGTTTTTCAGGCACTAAGATGCTGGAGAGAACTAACATGCGGGCTACAGGTAAGATGCCCTCTTCCAAGTCCCTTTCACCATATTTATATAATCTATTCTGAGCAAATAATCTGAGAAGCTGGAGAATATGAGAATGTGGCATCAGGATTAGTAGAAGATTGTTAATAACCTGCAATATGCAGATGACACAACCTTGCTTACTGAAAGGAAGAAGACTTAAAGCACTTACTGAAGAAGATCAAAGACCGCATACAGTCTTTAGTATGGATTATACCTCAACATAAAGAAAACAAAATCCTCACAATTGGACCAAAAACCAACATCATGATAAACAGAGCAAAGATTAAAGATGTCAAGGATTTCATTTTACTTGGATTCACAATCACTGCTCATGGAAGCAGCCGTCATGGAATCAGGTGATGTATTGCATACATCACCAGGCATACGTGTTGCAAAAGACCTCTTTAAGGTATCAAAGAGCAAAGATGTTACTTTGAAAACTAAGATGCACCTGACCCAATCCATGGTATTTTCAATAGCCTCATATGTATGTGAAAGCTAGACAATGAATAAGGAACACCAAAGAAAAGTTGCATTTGAATTGTGTTGGTGAAGAAGACTAAAAGCATCATGGAATGTCAGAAGCATGAACAAATCTGCCTGGAAGAAGTACAGCTGGAATGAATGTTCCTAAGAGATGAGAATGGTGAGACTTTGTCTCACTTACTTTGGTCATGTTGTCAGAAGAGACCAGTCCTGGAGAAGGATATCATGCTTGGTAAAGTAGGTCAGTGAAAAAGGGGAAGAACCTCAATGAGATGGACTGATACAGTGGTTGCAACCACGGGCTAAAGACTAGCAGTGGTTGTGAGGATAGCACAGGACCGGGCAGGGATTCGTTCTGTTGTACACGCTATGAATCAGAATTGACTCAACAGCACCTAACAACACAACGTTCACTAGTAGTTACCAGGGATTGTGGGGAGGAAGGGAGAGAATCCACTCTCTAGATAGTAGACACTTGCTTTTTTTGGTGATGAGAAAGGTAACATTGAATGAGAGTAAAGATAAATGATGCCACTAAAATGTACATAGAAAAAACCTGTTGGTAATTGCTATGGTGTGTAATTTTGAAGCAACAAAAACAACCAAAAAATACATGTGCAAGTATATATATAGGCATATATGTGAGTGTTGTTAGGTTCTGTCGAGTTGGCTCCAACTCATAGTGACCCTGTGTACAACAGAACAAAACTCTGCCTGGTCCTGTGCCACCCTCATAATCCTTGCTATGCTTGAGCCCATCGTCACAGCCACTGTGCCAATCCATCCCATTGAGGATCAACCCCTTTTTCTCTGACCCTCTAATTTACCAAGTCTGATGCTCTTCTCCAGAGACCGGTCCCTTTTGACATGTGACTATATATAGGTATAAATAGATGTATGCACATGTATGTGCCTTTATGTGACTGTATGCACATATGTTCATATATAAAGCACATAAGGGGCACAGTTACAGGTATTTCTTAGACATAACTGGACACCTCATGGGATTGGTTTTCTGGATGTGAAAGACCGGACCATAGTTTCATGGGACATCTTAATCGGTGCACATAATATAGTTTGTAAAGTTTATGCTCTATATCCTAGTTTGGTGAGTAGGGTCTGGGGTATTGGATGGCAAGCAGCCATCTAAGATACAGCTATTGGTGTCCACTCATCAGGAGCAAAAGAGAAAGAAGAAAACCAAAGACTCAAAGAAGAAACAAGTTACAGGACAAATGGTCTACATGAACCATGGCATCATCTACCCCAAGACCAGAACTAGATGGTGCCCAGCTACTATTGTTGTTGTAGTTAGGTGCCGTCAAGTTGGTTCCGACTCATAGTAACCCGAGGTACAACCAATGAAACACCACCATCCTGCACTATCCACTACTGACCATTATCAACAGGGCCACAATAGATGAATCCTGGTGGAATGGGAGAAAAATGTGGAAAAGAACCTCAAATTCCTAAAACAACAACAACAAAAAGACCTACTGGGGTGGTTGAGACTAGAAGACTCCCTGAGACTACTGCCTTGAGACATTCTTTAAATGTCAAAATGAAATCAACCCCCTGAAGTCACCATGTAGCTAAATAATAGATTGCCTCACAAAATAAAGATTATCACCTATAAGTACTGTTCTCCTTTAAAAAGTCACCTATATGAGACCAAATAGTCAACAACTACTTTAAAACAAAGATGAGAATGTAAGGGGGCAGGGAAACTAGATTAATGGAAATGTAACAACCAAAATGGAAATGATGAGAATTTTCACATATTGTGAAGAATGTAACCAATGTCACTGCACAACTTGTGTAGAAATTGTCGAATGGGAACCTAACCAAAACTCAAACTCACTGCCATCAAGTTGATTCCAACTCATAGTAACCCTAGAGGACAGAGTAGAACTGCCCCATAGGGTTTCCAAGGGTATAAATCTTTACAGAAGCAGACTGCTTCATCTTTCACCTGTGGAAGGGCTGGTAAGCTCAAACTACCAAACTTTTGGTTAACAGCTGAACGCTTTAACCACTGCACAACCAGAGCTCCTTATGGGAAACTAAACTGCGGTGTAAACCTTCATCACAAACACAATAAAATACTAAAAACAAAAGCATGTCCAGCACCAAGGATCAGGAGCTAGTAGGGCAGGCAACTTCTTTACCAGTAGCAACGAACACTAGAATGAAAGATCTCTTTTACCTGCAATTCTGCCCCCAGCAGCAGTGGCTGGTGTTGGGCAGAGCCCTTTCATAGGCCGAGCCCCAGATCAACGAGGACTCAAGACCCATGTGCTACAAACACTCATGTCTTTGCACACAAGCTCTTTACCCCTGAGTGACCATCTGGGGTGGAGACTGGCGGAGGGCTGCAGCCACACGCCATTCCTCACACGGTCACTTCACAGCCAGCACTTCCTGAGTGAAATGGTAGGAGGGACATTATGCTACCTGCTGTTTCTCTGTATCATTTTTTTAAAAAATGTTTGCTATCTGGGCTTTCCCACGTTCATTTCATCTGATGGGACTCTATGATACAGAAGAGAGGTGACACTGGGTTATCTGCAAGGCCCCAGGGCCAGGGAACGACAGAGCCCTTTAGTCCCACACTCTTGCCTCCACCACTCTGTGCTGTACCTGCTGCCTCTGGTTACACCTGGGCCCTGGGAGGCTCCAGCCAGGGACTGACCCCTGACCTCAAGACTGGCGTGAGAGGCCCAAACACACCTCTTCCAACCGTGTGCGCTTCTCGGAAGGTTCTGACCCATCACTCTCATTTCCTGAATGCTCTTCATCCTCCTCTTCATCCCTAAAGATATCATCGTAGGCAGGAACTTCAAGGTCATCATCTTGTTTGATGAGTAGTTTGATCTAAGTTTAAGACAAAAAGCAAACGAGTCTCTTCTCAACAGAAAACTCCATCAAAATATATTTTTCCCCAGCAGAATTTCATCATTTCCTGGTTAGCTGACTGGTAAACTTTCTGTCCTTGCAAACAGCCACCTATTAACAAGAGTTTCAGATTTTGCAGGCATTTATTTTTCTTTTGTGTTGATTTCCTCTCAGTGAGGTGTTGGGAGTTGCACCACACTGTATGCAGGAATTATGGAAATCTGAAAACATTTATTTGCACTGGGCAAATTGGCTGGAAGGGACTTATTTATTTATTTAATTTTTATCGTGATTTGGGTGATCGTTTCCAGAACAAATTCATTTTCATACAGCAGTTAATATATTTTGTTTCATGACATTGACTACAATTCCCTACAAGTAACAGCTCTCTTCTCCCTGTAGTTATCTGTTCCCTGTGTCCTTCTTTCCTATGCATTCCTGCCCCAAGATATTTCCCTGTGCAAACACTGCCCTTCTATTCTCCCGTGATTGATCATTCTAAGGAGTGTATCTACCTGATATAAATATTCACTGCATATGTCTGTTTATTGTTTGGCTGGAAGTCACGGGAGTGAATTCAATTCCAGACCTGAAGGGTAACTGGGGGCCATAGTCTCAGGGGTCTCACCTGGCTCTATCAGACCAACAAACCTGGTCATTTTTATGATTTTGAGTTTTGTTTCACATTGTTCTTTCACTCTGTCTAGGATCTCCTGCACTGATCCCTTTCTGAGTGGCTGACAGTGGTGGCTGGGTACCATTGAGTTCTTCTGGTCTCATGGTCAGATAGGCTGAGGTTCACCTGGTCCACTAGTCCTTTGGACTAACTGTTTCCATGCATCTTTGACTTTCGTCATTATTCCTTGCTCTGGACAAGGAGAGACCCACTGTTGCATCTAGATGGCCGTTTGCAAGCATTTAGGACTCCAGTTGCTACTCACCAAAGTAGGATACAGAACAATGTTTTTGTGTAGTATGTTATGCCGATTGAGCTTGATGTCCCCTGTGACCATGGTCCCGAGCTCACAGGCCCAACAACTCGCTTCATCAGGGTGGTAGACTGTGATTAACAAGTTATCATAACTTTGCCCCTATTAGTTATATGAAACATTTTTTTTTTAAATCATGTGCAATCACCTAAGTTTGAAGAAAAAGCACCCTTTCATGCTACACACCACGCCAATAAAACGAACACCTACAACTTGGCCTCTGATGGAGGGCATGAAGATATGCAAGCTCTAAGTGAATAAAACCTCCATCTCTAAAAGCAATCCTGGCTGATTTCTTTTGGAAGAGTTTTCCCATGAGCATCTGGGGCCCAGCACATTGTGAATGGGGAGGAAGGTCGTCTGGAGGGTGGTGAGGTGGCTGCTCTGTACCAGGCTCCGTACCTGCTGCTTGGGGCCCAGGAGTCAGAGCAGCACAGCTGTTGCAAGGCCACCAGCAGCTCTCACGCCAGCCCCACTGCTGGTCCTCACAGGCATGGCTCCTGGGCATTCGGGGTCTGGCCTGGCTGCATTCACAGGGACCTCCCAGGTCCCTTGATATTAGGTGGGCAGCACCGGGCCTGAGTACCAAGGGCAAACTACAAGGTTCTGGCACCAACATCTCCCAGGTCAAGCAAATCCCACAAACACATTCTGAGCACCCCTACAGGTCAGAAGCCATGTTTCTCATCAAAGAGGCACAAGATTAGGTACTTGTCTTTAGGTTGCTGACATTTCCAAATGGGAAACTGATACATGTTTGCCAAGAACACCAGACAAAACATTAAAATGGCAAAAAAAGGTACAGAAGGGTTGATGGGAGAACAACGAGTGAGTAGGGACCAATACCAAGCCCAGGGTGTGGGCCCCAAAGGCCTAGTTACCTGGGTATCGTTGTACACGTTCACAACATTGACTGGTCTATGGGTGTCACACACAAAGAATATAGTGTCTTCCTCAGGTTGAAGGATATCCAATAGGTCTACATTAGCTCCACAGTTTATGAGAATAAAATAATGGAACTGGAAAAAAAAAATAGACATGCTATAAAGTAAGCTTACTGAGGGGGCACTTACCTTCTACGCAGCAGGTCACCAAGTTTTGCCAAGACATATCAAGCTCCCAACACAGATGAGGCCCTGTCGAGGAGGGGCTCTGAAAACAGCCATGGCTGGCCTGTGTAGAGTGCTCTGACATTTCATCTTCCTAAGAACACTATAAGGTAGGTGTATGGTTGGCCCATTTCCCAGGTGCACATCGAAGCTCACTAAGCCCAAGTCTCATGCACAGGGTAAAGTTAACGAGAGTGTGTGCTCAGACCTCAAATATGTAATGGGTCTCTCCAGATCTCAGTCATTGTGCGGGACTGCCTGACTAGGGTGTTGCTGGTGTGTGCGATAGAGTTGCTTCTGACTCATAGTGACCCCGCGTGACACAGCAGAGTTGCCCTATACGATTTCGTAGACTACAATATTTACGAGAGCAGATCGCCATGTCTTTTCTCTCATGGAGCAGCTGGAAGGTTTGAACTGCTGACCTTCTGGTTTGCAGCCGAGCACTTAATGGTTGTGCCACCGGGGCTCCTGCCTTGCCAGGTAGACATTTAAAGTTTTAGCAAATCTGGGGTAACCCATACCTTTCAGGCACCTAAACTGGGCAAATCTGTCAAAAAGGCCTCTTTAAAATGTTATAAAGCAAAGACGGCACTTTGAGGACTAAGGTGTGCCGGACTCAAACCATGGTATTTTTGAGATGCGTGCCAAAGCTAGACAACGAATAAGGACCGAAGAACTGACACCTTTGAATAATGGCGTTGGTGAATACTGAATATACCATGAACTGCCAGAGGAATAAATAAATCTGTCTTAGAAAAAGTACAACCACAATGCTCTTTAGAAATGAGGATGCAGAGACTTCGTCTCTTCTACTTTGCATATATTATCAGGAGGGACCAGTTCCTAAAGAAGGACATCATGCTTGCTTAAGTAGAAGGTCAGCAAAGACGAGGAAGGCTTCCAATGAGACGGACTGACACCATGGCTGCAACAACGAGCGCAAACACAGCAGTGATCGTGAGCATGGCACAGGATTGGGCAGGGTTTTGCTCTGTTATATGTAGGGTCATTATGAGGCAGAACCAATACGACGGAACCTAACGATGATGAGGACTACGCCCTATCACTATAGAAACACTTCCCTTACTGCAGTGGCCAAGGTCCCTCACATGACAATAACTCTAGCACAGGACTTATCTCTGCCAGAGCTGTCTCACATGTAGCTAGGGACACCAGGGAGTCCTTCCTTGTATGGCTCAAGATGTCCATCTCTCCTTATGGCCTAATTTGGAGGCAGAGAGATGAGACATGTGTGTTCAAATTACAAAGAAAGAAGACATGTTCCTTCATTTCAAATTGGAACATAGGACACATTTAATTGGGGAGACAACATAAAAGAGCAGTATATATCATTAAGATTTTTAATTAGGTCAACAGGAGTGCATAATTATGAGGGGCACAGGGGGAGTGTTGCCGGGTAGGGAGGGGAGGAGACTGGGTTAGGGTTGGACATGGCGAATGGGGAATGAAACCAAATGTACGCATGACTTTGAATGTAAAACAAGCTCTTAAAAAAATACATTATTAGGTCCATTGATTAGAAAAACATATACATAGATAACAGGTACAACATACATTGCCATCAATTATTCATTGAGAATCCATATGGTTAAGATGTTTGAGTACTTTATGGGCAAATAAAAATATTAACCTTGAAAAAAAAAGATTTTTAATTAGATCAAGTTAAAAACTAACTGCTAAAATTCTACACCCTAACAATGAAATTCCTGCTATCTATATTTACCATCTTTTTTGGGGTCAATTTTGCCTTCATAACTTAAGGGTAAGTTATCAGTAGCTGTAGTATACTTTTCTTTTCCATTTTGCCTAACAGAGTTGATAGTTCACATGTGCACTTAACCTATTATGGAATAAGAAAGAACTCTGAGTGTTTAAAAATTACAATGGGGTAACAAGGGCTAACAATTCCAAAATACATCTTCCTTACCTGCTCTTTATGCTCAAGAAATGCCGTTTCAAGTTCTTGCCACCCAGAAACTGGAACCAGTGTGTACTGCACATGGTCACACTGAAACAAGGCCTGGGGAAAAAGTATATTCAAAGCCTCTCTTATTCACCATGTCTGCAATTTACCTTGAAACATACCAAGAAAAAAAGATGGGTGGAAAGATGGATGAGAGGATAAAGCAAGGTTAAAACCAGTTACCATCAAGTTGATTCTGACTCATGGCAACCCAGGTACCAGAGTAGAAATGTGCTCTATAGTTTCCAGTGGCTGGTTTTTTGGAAACAGATTGCCAGACTGTTCTTCCGAGGAACCTCTGGGGGAACTTGAACTGCCAATCTTTTGGTTAGCAGCTGAGTGCTTAACTGCTCACCCCAGCTGGAGACCTCCAACCAAGATCAGTAAAATGTTAACTGGAGAAACTCGGTGGTGGAGATGCAAGTGTTCACTGTAGCACTCTGTCAACTTTGCTGACGGAAAATTACATGGAAGTAATACATGGGAAGCAAGGATATCTCCTTGAGGACTAAGGTGCACCTGACACAAGCTATGATATTTCCAATCGCCTCATATGCATGTGAGAGCTGGACAATGAATAAGGAAGACCGAAGGAGAGTTGATGCTTTTGAGTTGTGGTGCTGGTGAAGAATGCTGAAAGTACCATGGACTGCTAAAAGAACTGACAGATCTGTCCTGGAGGAAGTGCAGCCAGAATGCTCCTTGGAAGCAAGAATGGCCAGACTTCGTCTCACCTATTTTGGTCATGCTGTCAGAAGGGACCATTCCCTGGAGAAGGATGTCATGCTTGGTAGGGTGGAGGGTCGACGAAAGAGGGGGAGGCCTTCAATGAGATGGATTGATACAGTGGCTGCGATGATGGGCTCAAGTATAGCAGGGATTGTGGGGCTGGCGCGGGATCGGGCAGTGTTTCGTTCTGCTGTGCATGGGGTCGCTATGAGTCAGAAACGACTCGACGGCACTTAACAACAACAATACGTGGGAGAAAAATCCCATCTTACTTCCAGGTCTTCGGGTAAATTCCTGACCGAAGGACCTGACCAAAACCAGTGTAAATGTCCCACCATATTCAAATAAGACTGAGCTAACAATCTTCCCTAATAGATCAGCGGTCCTACAATTCCACCATCACTTACGACAACACCATGCCCTCACCTGTCACAGAGTGGTCTCTCTCAAAACCCACATTCCATAAGCCACTTGTTGTTGTTGTTGTTGTTGTTGTTACATGCCGTTGAGTCAGACCCGACTCACAGCGCCCCCTCCTTGGGTTTCCGAGGCAGTATCACTACGGAAGTAGATTGCCCAACCTTTCTTCCGACCATAAGCCACTATGGGTCTAAATTGTAAGTTTTGCCCGAATGCAAATTAGTCATCCCGACTTTTGCCTACACCTCTTCTAATCCACCCTTCACACGCCAGCCCGGGCGGCGACTTCCTGTCTTCAGCTGTCGTTGCTCCAGTTCCCGCCTCAGCCCTTGGCCTCATCTGGGGGTTCAGGGGAATCCTCTCCATTCTGCTCCTCACCTCCTGCCCTGGTCCCTCTATCCCAGAGTCCGCGGGGCTCACCTGAAGGATCTTGCAGGCGCACAGAGCGTCCACATCGGAGGCCACAAAGAGAAGGACCCTCTGTCGGGGAAAGAGACGGCAGGCTGAGTTTGGCGACCCCAGTAGCGGCCGCTCCCCCTCACCCACTGTTCCTGACAAGACTTAGTCCAGGGGCTCACCTGATTCTGGACCAGCTCATAGAACTCCTTGCGGAAATCGGACAGGAACATACTCACAGCGGCAGGACTCTTTATGCAATAACTGGGTCACAGAAAACCCTGGCGGCGGTCAAGACTCCCGCCAAAGCAGGGCTCTTCCGATTGGCCCAAGGGTAGCCAATCAACAGCCGCTCAAGTCTCAGCCCTTCCTTCTTTCTGATTGAACCATTTTGGGGGCGGGCATTAGAGCGCCGCGGGTAAAGACCCGCCCGCCCCCAAAGGAGTGTTAAACTCGGAAGGACGCGTACGCTGTTGCCTTTTCAACTCCGATTTCCACTCACAAACCTGAGTCTCGGTGGACATTTTTATTTTCAGAAGAGAAGATTTTTAATTCCCTCTAGGGATTTCAGGAAAATGGAAACCTTCCATCATTTAATTAAATTTAGTTACGCGTAGAGTGAGGGCGTCAGTTTACATTTTCAAAAGCCTCTCCCTCTTGTTCAAAGGCGGATGTGTAGCTCACTTCCGCCAGAGTTTTCGAAGAGTGACACAAAGGCTGGAAGATCTAATTGCATTCTGGGTAGTGTAGTCAGGAAACAGGATGGGCCTTACTAAATTCGTTTGGAGGGGAGGACGAGCAAGACGTAATTTAACATAATAATAAAAATTATCTATGAAGTGGGAATCCTGTTAGAAAACAGTACTGTAGTTTCTGTGCCCAGGGAGCTGTATATTTCAGACTCTTTATCTGTTTTTTTTCTCTATTGCAGTCGACTCTTGGTCTCTGTACTCCCCTACCCAGGTTCCAGTTCCACCACTTCCGGGGAGTCTCCGGCGAGTCGGATGGGCTGTGGTGGCGGCGGCCGCGGAGGCTGTTAAGAGTGAGCGCGGTCGGCGGTCGGCGGTCTCCCGACGTAAAGTTCTCTGGAAGAAGCGGCGCCTGCTAGGCGGAGGTGCTCGTCATGGTGAGCGCAGCCGGGCCTGGCCCAGGGGTGGGACGATCAGGCGGGCGGGACAGGACCCACGACAACGGAGATGCCGAGTCACCCGGCCTGGGCCTGCGCAGCTGACTGCCCCGCGCGCATCAGGCACTAGCCGCGCCTTGACCAGAACCGCTCTGCTCATCTCCGCTTGTCTTTGGCGTGGTTCATACTTACTCTCCGTTGGACCGTGGGCTCCTTAAACTTTTGTGTCCAGCCCTAGATTCTCAAGTGCTAGGCACGTAACAGGTGTCCATAAACCCTAAATTAATCGAAAGATCATTGGGAGTGGGAAGCGGAAATCAAGTTCCCCATGGAAAATGCTTGTGCCCCAGTTCCGCGAGCTTTGTGCCGCCTCCTTCGTGCCTGGTTGTGTCGCGCCGTCCGACATCTACAGTGGTGTTACGTTTAGTAACGATAACGATATAGCTCATAGTTGCTGACAGTTTTTCTTTACAAAGCTTTGCATTTGTGTTTATCGTCAGTCATCACGTTTTATCCCATTTAATCCCTACAATCCCCTTGGAAGCAAGGATTATTATTGCCCTTTTCACCATGAGAAAACTAAGGTTTAAAGAGGTCGATCGCTAACTCGAGGTCGATCGCTAACTCGAGGTCACAGAAGTGAGTCCCAGAGATTTGAAACCCAGCGGTTTGGCTGCGGTGCTTAGTTCCGTTATAACTGTTACACAGCATGGCCTCAAGTGTCAGCTGGTTATTTTAGTTAAAACAGTATAGAACCGTTAGGTTTTACCTTAGGTGTGTCAGGGTCGAATCATATTTCTGTTTCCAAGTTCATCCACTGAACAGACATACACACTCGATAGACAACAGGCAATATGCCTGGCGCTGAAGTTTTAAAGCAAAGCAAGAAATAGAGGGGCACAGAAGAGCAGGTTCATGGTTGTGTTGAGGGCACATTTCTAAGGGTTTTGTAACTTTGTGCGTGTTTCCCTCTTTGTGTTGCCAAGAGAAGAGACAGGTGTGGGGGGGTGCTAGATAGTGTGGGAGGCCCCCACTTCTCTCCCTTTCTTCATGTACAGATGCTCTTTTATTTGGTACGCCCTTGGCTATGATTTTGTTAAATCCACTTCACCTGCATAAAAGAAGAAAGTGGGACAGAACTCTGAAAGCTACTGGATTGGAGCTCTAGGTAGTAAAGAGCCATGCAATTTTAAGCACTAGCATGTTATAGTTTCATTTTGGAAGACAGCTGATTCAGCTTGCTGATTTTGGAATGGCTGGGAAGCTACTTTATCATTAGTTGGCTTTTGCCTCTAATGTACATTTGGAGTCAAGTCAAGAAATACTTATCTGTTGTGAGATTTTATTCTTTTGGAAACACCATAAGTAAGTGCAGTGCTTTAAGAACACTCCAGATGGACATGTAGCATGTTTTTTAAGCCTCATCCGAATCCACAGTCTTGGATCTTCCTTTTTAAACAGCACCCTGCTTTAATTTTAGCTACTAAACGTGAGGAAGTCCCACAGTGTAACACAGTATGTGTACGTACTCTGAACTGTGAAAGCAGCATGGAAGGGTGCTAACCCTGACTCTTGGCAGAGCAGGGAAGGCTTCCTGGAGAAGGAAGGGCTGGCCATGGGGAGCCAGCTGCAGGGGTGCAGCCACTGGGCGCTGCTGCCTGGAATGCCTTTCCCAGGTTTCTACCTGGCTACCTCTCATGACATTCAGGTCTGTGCAGAGCCCTTTCCTGACCACCTATAACTTGCCCAGGTGCTTGCGACCCATCCCCTTACCTGTTTCTTCAGAGCATTGATCCCCACCTGACGTGTGTGTTCATTTTTGCTTATTTGCCCTGTCAGCTCCATCAGGGCAGAGGTTTTATCTGTTTTGTCCACTGTTGTTTCCCTGGTGCTTACAACAGAGGCTGGCAGGTAGAAGTCACACAGTAAATATGTGTTATTAAATTAATGAATGTTTTCTCAATTAATGAAAATAGGAAAGTGCTCCAGATAGAAGCAGCAGCCAGGGCAGAAGTATGGCAGGTCTAGGAGATTGTGGCCTGCCGTTAAGCAGGTGTCTGAACTACACGAAAGGTCTGCCTAGGTCCTTAGGAGGGGTGCGGGCTGGAAGAGGTTGAGGAAAGGATTGACCTGACCAGTTTTGTATTTTAGTAAGATCACACTTTCTAAGAACAGTGGAGACTAGATCTGAGGGAGCATATTGGGGGTGGCAGAAAGGGTAGAATCACAGAGGTTTGAGATGCAGTCTGCTATATGGCAAGTGCTCCTGCCGGAACTGTCCCTTTCCTGAATTTTAGGGTTAATCAGGAGTCCCTCGGTGGTGCAGCAATAAAATGCTCACAGTGAACTGAAAGGTTTGGCGTTTATGGGCACCCAGAAGTACCTCGGAAGAAAGGCCTCGTGATCTTCCAAAATACCTGCCTCTGAAAACCCTGTGGAGCACAGCTTCCCTGTTACGTATGGAGTCACCGTGCATTAGAATTGACTCAACGCAAACGATAACCACAAGGGTTAATCAAGTTTTAATACGTTTCATTCTGTGATATTTAGCAGTATTAATCACCCAGACATGCTTTGGCATTTGACATGAAGAAAAGTGCCATTGTTCTGTTCTAACACTACCATCTCTTTTTCTCTTTCCAGTTCTCTTTCAATATGTTTGACCACCCAATTCCCCGGGTCTTCCAGAACCGCTTCTCCACGCAGTACCGCTGCTTCTCCGTGTCCATGCTAGCAGGGCCTAATGACAGGTCAGATGTGGAGAAAGGAGGGAAGAGTATGTGCTTGTTTTTATTTTGTATAGAAATCTTTCCTGCCCTTAAGTCTGCAATACTTGTAGCCTCCAACAGTTGTTATTTTGCATGTGCTAACCAGACGCTAGTGTTAAATTACAGTGAAAATGTTGCTTGTCCCAGATTTGCTGGGGTAAGGGGTTCCTAATTGTAATTAGATTTATGGCTGGTAGCCATTCAGATTCCCTGAATAGATTACATTAAGTACAATTTTTTATGAAAATCTAGCTGCTCCAAAATACTATTTAAAACTCTTCTTTGTTTGAGGGTGGGATGTATATAATAGAAACTACATTTTGGCTCTTGTTCTTTTTTTTTTTTTTTAATATTTTTAAAATGTTCTTTCTGCAGTAATCATGCCGCCGTCTGCCCTTGATCAACTCAGTAAGTATCTTCTAAGTGACTTGATAACGTAGGGAAAGTGAATGTGGTTCACTTCTGGGCTTAGGCTCCTCAGTGTGTGCAGATGCAGACGTCCTTCGTCACGTTGGGTCATGAGTTGTCCCCAGAGGGTGGGAGAAGGGCAAGGTCATATGGGCTGGTGGCCATCTGTCCAGTGCAGGTGGGCCAGTGAGAGCTCAGCTTCGTCAGGGACCTAAACGCTTCAGGCCCCTACCCCCCACCCCACCATACGTGTCTGAAAATTGGGATCCCAGCAAGATTAAAGGAAGATGTGAGTATCAGGTACTTGGCCCCGTTCCAGAGCAGCTGAGGCTAGCTGGGCTTCCCAGGCTTTGTGCGAAAGGACTAGAGGTGTACTGAGCAGTGGATGCTGAGAGGCAGGCATCTTGTCTCCACACCAAACATCGTTCCTAAGCTCCAGGCCCGATTTTTAATTCCACTGCCACATCTCAGCATGTCGAAACCTGAGCTGTTCCCTTCTGCCTTGGAAGGCGTTGCCCTTGCTGTGTTCCTGCCTCTAACAAGGAGTGAGAAATGCCCACAGGTTGTCAGAGCCATGGTGCTTTTCTTCTCTTCTCCCACTTTCCATCCAGTAAGAGCATCCTGGAGACCCCAGTCCTACACCATCCAGACATGGGAAACCCTGGTCACACATGCAGTGTAGTTAGGGCTTTTGGAGCCTTGGGAGTGTTTCCAGGGTGACTCCGTTTGCACTGTGGGGCGCTGCTGCTTCTGGCCGTTGTCCCTCACCTCTCTGCAGTCCTGCTCAGGTTGATCTTTACGTGATTTGATTGATTTAGAATTTTTAGAGAGACCCAAACTGGAGTCTGTTCCTCTTCTGCTGAGTGGAGCTTCTGTTAACCCATTTATCTAAATCTACAAGCTAAAGACTGTACGGCTGAATGGTTAGGTTCCCAGACTTGTACCCAGCCTGGGTTTGCATCTTGGTATCATTACTAAGGAGATGTATGTTCTTGGGTATGTTACTTAACCTGTGTTACTTCCCCATGAATAAAAAAGGGATAATGATAGTACGTACCTCACTGTTCTAAGAAGATTCTCTGAGGTGATGTGATAGTGCAAACACTGTCACTGTCGTCTCAGATCTTTCCCCTAGGTCCCCAGATCTCCTGAGTTCTCCTTCAGTCACCAGCCCTTCTTTGTGTGCCACACTGCACTTCCTGAGTCCAGCCACACTGTACTTCCTGAGTCTGGCCACACTGCATCCTTGGCCTCGTGAATCCCTGCATTGAGGGAACTTACCATGCTGTGATCCTGCTGAAAGCCTGCGTACCTAGTGCCATGTTCCTCACTCTGAGGTTCTGGCCTGGCTTCCCTCCCCACTGACCTCTTCCATGCCTTATGCTCTAACTGCCTCATTGCCAGCCTTTCTCTCCACTGGCCAGCCTACATTTCCATGCCTTTGCTCCAGCTGCAGCCCTGCCTGGAGTTCCTGCCCTGGCCCTGGCCCTGGCCCTGACCTTGGCCTTACCCTGCCTGGTGACTTGCCTTGAGAACTCGTCCTACAAGACCCTGTGAGCCCTCTCCACTAATCTGAATTCCTTCATACCCTCTGTTCCCACAGTACCTGGGGCATTTTAGTGCACTTGTTTGTTTTCTTTCTTGCCTTTTTGGTCTTGAAAAGCCATGTCTGACACATGATTAGCACTTATGTTATTTATGAATAAATGAATGTACCTAGTACTTTTTATTATTTATTTATTTATTTATTTTTATGAACAGTACTTTTTAAATTGGTGATTTCAGAAAGTTGCCAGGTAAGCCAGCACATTCTAGAAATCCACCAAATTTTTTTGATTCCTACTCCTGTCCGGGCACTGTGCTTTCAGAAGGAACGACTCTCCCTGCCTTGAACTGGGGGCCTAGTGGGTGGACAGACCCCAAGGGTCCAAGTACCACAAGGGGGTCTGTGCACCTGCTCTGGTGGGAGGCCAGGGAAGGCTGCTTTCCAGGGGAAGACTTTCGGTGAACGTGGGCTGTCCTTTCATGGAAGCCATTCCTGAACAGTGCCTGTGTGGCCCATGCTTATCATCACTCTCTTCTTTTTTAGGCCGACTTAACATTACCTATCCCATGCTGTTCAAACTGACCAATAAGAATTCGGACCGCATGACGCACTGTGGGGTGCTGGAGTTTGTGGCGGATGAGGGCATCTGCTACCTCCCCCACTGGGTAAGTGGCGCCTTGGAGGTCTCTGAGAGACTGGGTGCCTTCAGGGCCCTGCATTGCCCAGTAGAGGAGGAGGAGGCCTGTCATGGGGCGTCAGAGCCTCTTAGGAATGTCCCCCCAGCATATATGCAAGAGAATCTTGGCTCTGCTTGCCATTGGGACTGTGTGGCCAAGCTTCTTGTTTAGGATTGGGCTGAAACAGTAGGAGCCCTCCGCTCTGACAGGGACTCAGCTGGTTAGCAGAGAAGTTTGTCAGAGAGGGAGATTCTAAATAGTGCTGTGTGCCTTGATGTATTTTTTGCTATAAATGCATGGTGTTCACCAGTTGTGCTGTAGAATAAAGCTTGTTCTTGTGAGAATATTTTTGAAGTGATCAAAGTACAGAGTTTTAGAGATTTTCCCCACTTTCTTGCAGTTTTCTTCCCTCATCTGTCACACTGCTTCCTGTTTTTTCCAGAAACTTGCTGTCAGTTGAGTCTTTCTAAAGTGCTCAGCGTAGTTGCCACAGGAGCAATGCCTTTGTTTTTAAACTCAAGTTTTGTGTAATAAACTGAGTCATGGGTGGGGTGACCTCTAGAGTGCAGAGCCCTTGGAGCTTTCCCTGGGCACACGCACCTCATGTCCACAGAACTGTAGCAGCATGTTAGAGAGGAGCCTGCAGTGAGGGTTCCACATGGGGCCAGGGTCCATCAGGTGCCACAAGAGAGGGTGGGACATGACACACACACTGGGTGCGTGGAAAGCACGCAGCAGAGTGGCCATAGTCTGTGTCGCTGGATGTGTGACCTGCTCTTCCGTAGTGGCGCCCTGCTTCCAGCGCACAGGTGGGAGCTGGGCTCAGCGGAGAAGAGCGTCGGTGACAGCTCTGCCCTTGTTCTTCAGAGCAGTCTTAAAGTGAGCCAGTTGTAACCTTGTGTTTGCCTCAGGGTCCTTTTCTAGTAAGGTCTTATGTGCAAACCCAGTGTGTCGGCATCTCCAAAGGAGTGGCTCTGCTTGGATGTGAGGCCACAGGCCTGTTGGCTCCCTCCTCTCCTCTCCTCCTCGTCCCAACTGTACCATGCTTAGCTTTGGAAAACCCGCAGAGGAAACTGCTTGTGCTTCTCTTAGTCCTTTAATTGTGGCGGACCTGGGAATGTATAGACACCTCACTAGTCACACCCCAGTGAGCCTCACTGCCCCCTGCTACCCTCCCTGCTTCCTGGTCCCCTATCTCCGTATTCATGGAACTTTCAGAAGGGTGTGTTTAACATTTCTTGATTTATTTTATTGCAATATAATTTATGTACAGTGAAATCCACAAAACTAAAGTGACATCAGTCAATGCATTTTTTTTTTT